AAAAAAAAAAAAAAAAAAAAAAAAAAAGGAGAGAGAAAAGTTCGTCAGCTGGCAGCTGAACAAATTGCCTCTAAATCATCTGGTGAGTTAATTATCTGCTGTGCGCAACGTTCGCTTGCTTTTTAGTAAAAAAATCAAAGCCATTTTCTTTTACTTCATCTTTATTTCACCCGCCGAGGACACGCTCCTCCCACACCTCGCTGCTGCCGCTGCTTGTTCTGGTCTGAACACTATGCGTTCTTCGGTCTGAACATAGAGCGTCCAGTGAGAGACGTTTTGCGCTTTTTGGCCGCTCAAAACGCGTTTGGTGTGAACGAGCCATTAGAAATCAACTTGTTACTCGCCAGAAGTCGCTTAAACTCTTCCACTCAGAAAAAACAACAGTAATCCCAGCGAAGAGTTGATCCTAAAGTCTTCCTTATAAAGCCAGTGAGTTGATGAGCCAGTTCTTCTCAGGTGAGTTCAATTAGCTTTGCCAGATATGCAGGGAGGCATGAGGTGAAATCACCAAAATGTCTCACTAACATCTGAAAAGCATATATGAGGTTTAATTTTCATTATTTTTATCATAATTAAAGTGCGCTTAGATGGAGGGGTGGGTCAAAAATGCGCAGACAAGGATGTGAAAATGAGAGGGAGAAGAAGATAAATATGCAGCAAATAATTTGCTTCAAATGCAAGACAGCACCATGTCCATCCTAACTGCTCACCATTGGAGGGATTAGGCATGAAGAAATGACTGACATTTGATAGGCGCCTTTGAGCAAACGTCTTTTATTCCATCATCACCAGAAAGAGTTGTGTAGTGAAATGTGATACCCCCAAATGCACAAGTTAATTTTGCCTGTGCCCTTTTAATGTCAATCTGTTGGTATGAAGGCAACATTGAGCAGTAAAAATAAATAAATAATAAACAAAAATAAATAAAGAAAGAAAACCCATTTAATTCATTTCTTGTGTAAAAGCCTGGAGCAAAGAGATAGCACATATCCAATCATAGTGTCAGAGAGAAGGATATTGGTTTATGTCATGCTCTTTCTGTCACTCTACGTTTTATTTGAATTTGCACTCTGTGTATATGTTTCATACTGCAAATATTGGAGGCCAAAGTGTCAGGGGCCCTTGTGCTTTTGTATTACTGATAAAACTGACTTCAGCGTAGTTTATCTAAATCACGCATTTGTCCACAGATCATTTTATGTAACTAAAATAAAAACAAAACCAAAAAAAAAGTCAGGGCAATAGACCTTGGCTGCCTCACCAACAATGTTGGAAAGCAAGAAAACTTTCTCAGTACAAAGTATCAAAATTATTTAGTGGAATTCCTTGGCTTCCTACAGTATACACAAAATATTTTTTTTACTGACCTGGAGCAGAAACAGAAAGGCAGGATTGGGTAAGAAGAGGTAGAAAAAAAGTGAACCAAGAAACAGAGGTAATAAAGTAATAACTGTAAGATTACTAGCAAGCATGCATCCAAAGGTGCCTCTCCAAGTCTTTCTTGTTTGATTATAAATGAGCATGTGATGAAAAGGCAACCTGTCCAAGGTATAACTTGCCTCTCGCACAGTGACTGCTGTAGATATGTAATAGCTTCCCATTACCCAGATAGGAAAAGTGGGTGAGAACTGCATCATGATGTAGTGTTCATATTGTGGCCTTACAAAAAATTGTAACAGTTTAATCTCAGCTAGGGTCATTTTCTCAGTTTATCTGAAATGTACATTAGTTTATGTTGTGACTCTAAAGGCCCTTTCAAAAGAAAGAACAGGTTGTGACTCAACAAATTTGCCAGGCAGACTGAGTAGGGCTACATTATTTTTCATTAATTGGTGATGTACAATGTCCAACTCCTTTCTTCAAAAAGGTGTGGTGTGTCTCAAGTTTCACAAGCATCTGCAAGGATTTATTCAATGTGACAGTCATGCTGGTTCCTGTTCAGTTTCTATTTTTGTCTTTCTACAGTTGCAGTGAAGTCTGCATTGCTGGACTGCWTATGCATGATAACATGGGAACCTGTTGTGTAAATAGACAAACAAGACAAGTGCAGATTAAGTGCAAAGCCTCCAGAGGATACAGTACAACTATTTCATTTACATTTGGTTTGGTTAGCAGAGCGGGATATATATACACACACACACACACACACACACACA